ATTAATACTGTGATGCAAAGGAGCAGGGCCTCCATTAACCCTCCCCAACAAGGAATGATCCTGAGATCTTACTAGTTCTTTATTGGAGCAGTGGGTTTCCCCATAAGGCATCATTTGTTATATTACTTCCACCTTGTAAATTACATTTTCCTATTTCTTTTTCTTTCTCTCTTTTTTTAAATTATGCTCTGGAGAGGAGAGGGGAGGGAAAGGGCAAGGTACGTCACTGAGTTAGAGTTTGAGGGAGTAAAGAAAGGAGCATAATGGAGTCCTTTCCATCCAGAAGAAGAATAGCACAAGCTCAGAAAGGAGAAGGTGTCTTGCAGAGACTTGTAGAACAAAAGAATAGGAAGGTTCCTATGGATCCACTGCATCAGGGTTGTTTTTGATAGGCAGATTAAGTGCTTTTGGAAACCTGCAGCACTTATACCTGTATGTTCATCTACTGGCTCGTTTCTTACATTTTTAGGAAGGATCTCATCACCCGTTGCATTCTTGAATATTACCAGAAAACCAGCGATGCTTTGTGCTAAAGTGATTCGATCCACCTCGGAATTGCTTTGCTGTCAGTGGTGAAATCTATGTGATGATGAATCTGTCATTCCTCCTCCCCTTTCATGAAAACATGTTAAAGTCAGAGCTGCTCAAGGACTAAGGCTCAGGACAGTCTTTATTTATCAAGCCAGGAATGAAGGCAAAAATGTCTAAAGAGAGGAAATGTATGTAATATCTATAAGCCTGACGTCGATGTCCATTCTTCCTTTTGCAAGAAGAAATGAAAGCAGCAGAACTGAAATCCAGTTAATGTTTTAGCAGTGTTTGTCCTTGTAAGATGTTTAATTGCAGAAACAAGCCTCGCATCCTTATGCCCTTCCTAGATACTATTAACATATCTGTTATACTGTAAAAATGGTTTTATATGAATCAATTCTTATGCATCCATCATCATTCAGTTACACAGTGACTGTTTAGTATTTATCTGGTATTTTTCATTGATCCCATCATTTCAGCATCCAGGTTCCTTACAAAGTGTGAATAATCTAGGTGATCTATACAAATACTCAATTAATTTTAATTTATTACTATTTGTGTCACTGGCTTCATAGGGCTGATTTGCACAAGCAAACGCTGGCCCAGAGCCCCAGGCTCACATCCAATGGGTTCTCAGTGGAGAGGACCTTGAAGCCCAGAGGCAGGGGACAGCAGTCTGCTGATGCACAATGGTGCATTGATCTTAACGAGGTAGGAAGGTTTTTCAGATCTTTTAACTACTCTTAATAAACACAGTCTTGAAATTGTGGGATTTCACAGATACAATTTCTCTGTATTTATTTCATTGTCATCGAAAATAATTAATATTGCATCTTTAAAATGCTGCTAGGGCAGGTAAATTGTAATTAATCATGTGCCCTTCATCAATAACTAATTATTCGATTACATTAAAGATAATCTTGTTTTCAGCAAATATCAATCATTAAATGAACTATTGTTTATTTCTAATTCCTAACGTCAATACTATTAATTCTGTAATTGCAAGTGTCATGAAATGGCTAGAGCATAATAAAATATATATGCCCTCTAACCTCCATATTAAATCATGGTGACATATTGACAGATACTATAGTGTTGCAGATAAGTCAACCTTTTTGTAGCCACCTCTTTTCAGTTGAAATAGCTGGGACAAAATGAGAAATAAATACTGCCTGTGTCATCATTAAACCCATTTAGAAAGGTCTAAGGAAGCAAACGAACACTTAGCACACTGATAAATCCAGACATTTAAAAATAGTATGCAGCTATTTATGTTGCCTGGAGTATTAATAACTTTATTTACAACTGAAATAAAGCTCAGCTGGGAGAGCCAACCCCTGTATGACATTTCTGTTTCATGTGGGAGCAGAGGTGGCTCTAACATTTTTTTTAACTAATGGAGAACTAATCAGAAAATTTTGTAGCAGATGCTGTGTGTGTGCACAAATAATGGCGATGGAGGTTTAGGAGAGCTATTTTGCACAAAACAAAACCAGCATACTTTATTCATCATCAAAGCAGCGCAAATGAGATGAGAATACTTTGTTGTAATGCACAGAAAAACAGGAAAAAATAACTGATGACCATTACATTTTATAAAACCTTGTAACTTTTCACGATGTATCGTGCACACTCATATTGCTGTATGCTTGCCTGGGACAACTTGGAAATTGCCAGGGCTAACTGGCCCTGCCCAGGTCCCATGAGTGGTTGCTGGGCCCTTCCTGTAGTGGTGCATTGTGGTGTTGAGCTGAGTGCTGCCATGGGCACCATCCCCATGCAACATGAAGGGAAGGTGACAGTGAGAAGCATACATTCATGCAGGACTACCAATGCTTGATAATCTGGGGTGATTTAGATGATCCGGGCTTGCAGGTCAAGTATTTGTTCCTTGGTCTGAGCCCTGTGCTGGACTGGGGAGCCAGAGCAGTGGCAGCTGCTCAGTACCCTCTGTATCAGGCATGAAGGTGGTCATCTATTCAAAGACTGGCACTGGCTTTTAAATCCTCTGTGAAATGGAAGTAGACATTCCAATCAATGTGGGGCTTTGCTGCTTCAGCAGGGCGAGCTGTTTATGTTACTAAAAGACAGGTATTTGAATTTGCAAAAGCAGTTTTTTCCTGTCTCATTCAATCTTTCTGCTGCAGCAGTTTCAGTCACTGAATGGTGTGTGTGTAGTTAATTGGCAGTCCTAGAGAAGGCTAGGAGAGCAGAGGGGGGTTGGAAAAGGGAAGTGCTAACCCTTTTCCACCCCAAATCCCCAGAACCCCAGACGGCTCAGTTTCAACACAGGCAGCCAGATGCAGGGTAGCCACGTGCTCCCAAAGAGCCACTGGGGACCTCTTTGCAGCCCCTCCCTGTGTTGCTTGAGGGCACCTGAAGGGGCTTTGGAGTTCAAAATGTTCCATTTTTACCAAAGGGAAAGAGCTTGTTGAACGGCTACATAAATAGTGACAAAACTGGGACTTTGAGAAAATAGCTTCTTGTATTTGTTGTGCTCTCAGTCTCCTGAATGTGTTGGCATTCTTTACTGTTAATGAGGGCTTAGCACTTTTCTCTGGCCTGTGTTGCTTTCCTGACAGGTGTTCATCCTGGCCCCTAGGTATAAAGGGCATGTGGCTGATGGTTCCAGCATTGTATTTGTCAAGCTCCTCTGTTAATCCATGGCTGAAATAAACTCAGAAGTCTGCTTTCTGAACTAGTCAGAGCCAAAGCTCTTACAGGAATAGCTTGGATGGTTCTCAATAGGGAAAGGTTTCCTCTATCTCCAGGTTGACCTAGGACAGTCCCAGTGACCTCAGACAGGAAGGCCATCACACCTAGCCCTTCCTCCTTGTAGGAGGCAACACTCCAGAGCAAAAGCCTGCGTTTAATTCTGTCCATTGTTTCCTGGTAGTCAAATGCCTGTTGCACAGCTCCAAGGAGCAGAGGGATTCCAAGGGGAGTTAAACCCTGCCTCTTGAGTTTGTGTAGCTGTAAAGGTGATGGTTGCTGAGACATCCCATAGTTTTGTCCTCTACCTGATGTGTGCTACTTTGGTATTGTTGATATATCAGCGGAAACAGTGCTGCAAGTGAAAAAGTAACAGCCTTATCCTAATAGTTGCTCTCTGCAAGAAGTAAGCAGTTAATCCTAAGGAAGAGAGGAGGCAGCGTGGTGGAGCAAGACAAACAGCAGACCTGCCATGCCACAGCTAGGCTGTGGGACATAAGAGCTTGAGTGGGTGACAGAGATAACAGCATCCTCAGACTCAGAGGAAGATGTGGGCCAACTTCTTCATGCTTGACTGCCCCTCCTATCCTGTGCCAGCTGGCACTTGGATCATCTGTAGAAACATATGTTTGACCAACCCAGCTGCCAGGGGAGGGTGGTAGAGCTGGTGGCTGGAGGAGAACAAATCAGTAAAGGAACACAGTGAGTGATGTAATTGTTTCTTTTAGCAGGGCTTGGTATGTTGTTTTTTTTTTTTTTCTCCCTGTAAACTCTATCCTGATAATATTGTTTCCCTTTGATAAAACTTTGATGTACATTCAGGCCCATCCTGTAGTGTAACAGTTGCTATCCATGATGTTGGGTTTCTCAGAGAGACTATAGGAAACATGGTGAAAGGGACACGCTGTTTGTTCTCCTCTGAGCAGAAAGGCCGACCTCTTTCTTGGGTAACGGTTGCTGTGGAAGAAGGGAACATGAGCTCCATTTTTCTGACTTTCTTAATTTCTGGTTTGCTTTAAGACTACAGCACTTTTGTGTGGTAAATGGAGCATGCTTATATTTCTGTTAATGGATGTTTGAGATTCTCAGCTGAAGGGCATTAGGGAAGAGAACATATTATTATAGCTTTATTGTATCTCCTACTTTTTCAAGACATTATGGAAAGTTCATAGTAGTATTTCAGCATCAGCCTATACAAATAGTATGCAGCAGTGCTATTTTCAGGCAAAGGTACCTAAAGTGAAGCCCCTAACTCTAAATTTAAGCACCTGAGTAGGTGCCCGATTTCAGTAAGAAGACTAGCCACCAGCAACCTCCACCAACATGGATGAGAGCTATTGATGTTCAGGGCCCTCTAACACCAAAACATTCATTTTTGAGGATTGCCCTAATCTGGCATCTAATTTCAAGCATCAAAGTTTGAATATGGTATGTCATCACTGATTTTGCAATCAGCATCTGACTGCAGAGAAACAATATTAAGTGTCAGTGCAGTTTATGCAGGAGACACAGCTGGTGTCTCCTTGGGGCCTGCGCTTAAATCATGTACTCCACGAAAGCACAATTCAAGTGTTTAGCAATGTTAATGTAAAAAACACTGTGTATTTTTGAATTAAACCAGGCCCTGGATTTAGCATCACTTATCTTCCCCATCAAGGTGCACAGCAGTGAGCGCAGCAAGGCTGTTATTGCTTTTACTGTATTCTAAACACACACACACGCACACATCTGTATCATCAATATCTGGCAAAAGTATTTATTGTTGTCTCCGAGCAGAAAGTAATACTCTGATACAATGTGCAATTTATAGGCACTAGTTTTTGCTGCCTCTTATTATAGAAACAATTCATCTCATTGCAGAACGTGTGCTTAATTATAATTTGCTAATGCCCTTGAGTTTTTTAAAGTCTAATTTACTGCTGATGTGTTCTGCAGCCAGCATTATCTGGTGACAAAGCAAGGGAATTAGCTTAAGGAACTCTGATTTTGCTAGCACTGGATTTGTGATCTGTGACCCTATGCAAAACATTTCACCTTTTTCATGAGTCAGCTCCCCCATCTGTTTTTAGAAAAATGGCTGGAGACCACCAGATGAGAGGAGCCATATTTTTATTTCTTTAAGTGTCAGAGCATTGGAAGCATTCAGCGCATTATTTACAACATACCACTCTGTGTTTGAAACACCTCATCATATTTATAATTTTAATTTGGCTTTACTTTTGCTATCTTTGCTAAACATAAACCACCCACAGATTAAAGATGTTGATGTTCATAGTAGTCTAAGCTATACCAGTGATTCAACCATAGCTTAGTGGTAGAACCACGACAGTCAGTATTGCCACTGATTTTAGGGCTCAGTCACAACAAAGCTGTGCAAGGAGGGAAAATCATTTGTTTTGTGACATCTGACTCAGACTAAAGTGACATTAAGGCTAATGGCATAAAGGCATGCAGTGGCTGAGGAGCACAGGCTGCAACCTCATGGTGTGTGGATCTTGTCTGTGCTCTTCACCTTCTCCAAGGACACTGTATAGGTTTTGCTAAGGGAGAAGAAAAGAAAATGTTGTTTGTGACGGGAAGGAGAGAGGTTAGCTTTTCTCTCAAAAGACATGAGCTTTCTCTTGTTTGTGGCAACTTCAAGTAGCATGCTAACAAATCCACGGTGCTGCTTCTGTTGAAGAAGGCTGTGGATGTCATGTCAGTGCTTTCAGAGCGACCCCAGGGACATTGGAGTGAACATTTCCTCCAACTGTTGACATCTTGGTGGCCTCAGAAAGCTGGCCCCCTGTGGCTCATAATGGGATGTTGGCTGGATAAGATGAAACAGGACGTTTAAACAAACCACTGTTGTTTTCCAGTTCTTGCATGCATTCCTGCTCAGCTCTGTATATAACACATCACATAATGCATCTGCATCCTGTCAGGAATGTGTAATTGATAGAAAAATATATTTGATATGAGCATGCAAAGAAACTGCTATTTTTTTTAAGCAAAAACTGTCCCAGAATCTTTCCTTTGCTGCTTACAGTGCTGAGATGTTTTCTTTAAAGACTACAATGCAAGTACCACTGTGTGCCCTGGGGGTGCACATAAACTCCAGACCCTGTTCAAATTGTGCGGCACATGACAGCACCACAGTACCAAACCATGCTTCATAACACATCATCCAAATCTCACTGACCACAGGTCCAGCAGAAATGTTGCAATCACTTGTCCTGATCACTTCCTGCCAAATAACAAACATAGCTTGTCCTCCCTAAAAATAGAGATCTTACTGTGCAGCAATCCAAGTGCCAGCACCAGAACCATAGCTCTCCATAGTCCACTTCAAGCCTTAAAATATTTTTTTGCTGTGTTCTTTCTGACATAAGACATGGTTAGGGAAATCTATTAGAGGTATTTGTTTTGTTTTGTGGAGCGCAAGGGTGCTAGTGCTTTATTAACACAGTAGCACTGCTCAATGGCAACATCTGGTTTTCACTGAGATTTCAGGGTTTTTTTATTCCATTTTCCAGCTGTGTTGACTCAGAAGAGTCAGAAGGCAGTCAGCCACTTGTGAGAGTGAAGTCTCCAAACGCTTTAAGAGCTGAGATATTCTCTGAAAGTCCTCGTTGGAAAATGAGGGCAGAATCTGACAATACCAGTTTTTCCTCCTGAGGCTTCCAGCACTCACACTTCAGGTTCCAGGCAGAACCAGGAAATTAAAAATCGCATGGAAACTATTGCAGAGCTTTCAGGATGGCTGTAGGTTCGATCTGCACAGAGACAGAAAGTGAAGGAGGGAGACTGAGTTTTCCCAGGTTGTTTGTGCTGTGTTGTTCATTTACCCTAAAAGATGACTTCAGAAGAAGTCCAAGTCAAAAGAATAAAGTCTCGTTGGTTCGGAGCAAAGAATGAAAATGCAGCTTTGGTGTCAAGACATTAACAATTCATTATGCTTACCTGTGTCCCAGCAGTGGGGCCAGCCAAGAGGCAGATTTTCTTACAGCTTATATGAGCTGCGCATCTGATGTGTGCTATAAATCCCATCCCTTTGGGAGTGTTGTTAGCCAGGTGTGGGTATGTGCCTGTGGTTTGAGCTCCAGCAGAGCAGGCAATGAGTGGTGTGAAGGACCCATAAAATGTGCTCCTCCACATTGCCAGCTCCTGCATGATGCTCCCCAGCACAGCCTGGCCCTGCCTTCCCCCCTCCCCAGCCTTGTGGGGCCTTCCTTGTCCCCAGCCTTGGTGAACCCCAGCCAAGGGACCTAAGGGATTGCAACCATTAGCAGGTATTTCACCATTGCTTTTGTCCTTGCTTCTCTCCACCCTGCAGTGCCCACTTTGTATTCTGCTCACCTGTTTTTCCACTTGTTCTCTCCTTTGTGCATTATTCAGCTTTCCTTTTCTAGCAGTGCTTTTGCTCCTCTTTTTCACCTCACTCCTCATACAGGAAGAGAACAGCAAGCTGGATGAGATTGCCCTGTAAGCCACAGCTGAAGGCAGACTGAAAGGAAGAGGAGGGAAGACAACCTTATAAGTAAGCATCTGAAATTTGAGTTTTTGCTATTTCTAGTTGTTGTGGCTAGTTGTGGTAGAGAAGCTCTGGGGTTCCTCATTCCTGCCCCAGTCACCTGACTGAAGCAGGGGCTGTGCTGGCTTGGGGTGTAGACTTGGAGCCCCTCTGCAGCGCTGATTAAGCAGACTAACTTCACTGATTCAATAGAAACCTGTCCAGAGTCAAGCTGGCATAGGTGGTGGATGGGTTGGCTGCACTGTCTCTGACTCCTCATATTCTTGTTTGTAAGCATGTTGCCCTGACTTTTGCCCTATTCTCCATTTTTTTTCCTTTTTTTTTTTTTTCCTTGAAAAATGGCCTGGTTGAATATAGGAAAAATCAGCCTGCGGAACAGGAACTCTGGAGCTGTTTTAGGGTTAAGTTACAAATGTGGTTTTTTTCCATTCATGTTTTTTTTTTTTTCCTTTCCCAGACCGCTCAAGTCCTAAATTCCCCCCGTAAATCTGCTTTCTGTCCCATCAGTTCTCAGAACAATGAACCACTTGATATACCTGATAAGAGTTAACATGAAAAGCGAATAAATCATTTGCTACTCCCTTTTCTTTTTTTTTTGCTGTAACTGGGTGTTGGTCTATAAAATGAAGGAAGTTACATAGAGCAGGAAGTTTAAAAATGCTTAGACAGATGTCATTAAAAAAATATATCAAAATTGGCTTCCTGCCAAGTGGCTGTAATTAAAATTATTCTTCTTAGTGAGAAAAAAGCAGATGCAAAGGGAGGTTTCCTGTCTCTCGGAGTAGGAAATATAAATAACTGATAGTCTCTCTTTTGTGTGTGCTTGTGTGAGTGTGTGTCTTAATAGAGGACTCTTGCTTATTCATGAAGTGGCTTTTGATTGAAAACTTTAGTCAACACAGTGTGGATGGCTGCTTTATTAATCTGTCCTTTTTTGAGTCTTGTTTTTAAACTTGATCTTTGTTGCAATATAATGTATATAAACTGCAGTTGCCCTTTTTATGTGAAAGATTGCTCCAATGACTGCTTTTACAGAAAAAACTCCAATAAATTTCTGCAAACAGCTTTAAAGGGAGAATGGGATGTGGGTGCGTATACATGTGTAGATGGCTAAATACATCTATGCACATCATATAGCTATAGCTGATAGCTATATTAATTCAAAAACCAAAGTAGTTAATGCCATGCAACTTCCTAGCATCCATGGAAGTATGCAAGTATAAAATTGCTTCCATCATCATATCTTTCTTTCTCCTGTACAAGCATCTTTAGTTTGATATAAAGCCTTTACATTAGACTTCAATTTCATTTTAATTAAGATGTCTTCTCATCTAATATAATTACAAAAATTCAAAAACAGTCTCTTAGCAAAATTAGACAAGTATATCACCAGGGGATGTGCACTACATCTCCTTTCTGTAGTCAGAGTTTAAGAGTGGGCTGATGCCTTTTCTCTCCTGCATATAGATGAACTATTGACTCATGTAGGCTGAAGAAATTTTCTCAGTCCATTTACTGTAGGCTTTTTTAGAAGTTGCACTGAAGAATATAGATATACTTCTCTTTTAAAAAAAAGTTTCACTTGATAACAGCATTGATCCATGTGAACTAATAGATGTTAGTGGAGCAATACCTCTTGAGACTAGCTAAGGCTACTACCGAGAAATGAGTTTGGGTGGTGTGCATACCACATACGTGTCTGGGTGTGACACTGGTTACTCTATTTAGATTCCTCCTTAGTGCTCTAACATGTATCAAATAGCACATCAATGTAACTTGTGCTATATGCTGTGCTAATAGCAGATGGTATGGGCACGTGAGTGCAGGGCCTTAGTTTAGTATGAAGCACGTGAAGTGAGGATTTGGAAATACTGTATATTTTGGAGGTGATGACCACAGGCAAGCGTACCTCTCCTATTGCATGGATGGACTACACAGGGGGAAAAGCTTAATTTTATTGCTGTTTTCTTCTGGGCTCTGCAACCGTTCTGCTTCTGTTAGTGGGCCAGCCAGTCTCAGAGCAATAAAATCTGCAAATAGAAGCATTGCTTATATTGATTAAAAAAAAAAAAAAAAAAAAAAGGGATTAATTTTAATATTAGGAGTTGGATGGCACACTGGTACAGGATGTGCTGATCTTTGTAATGATTCTTGTGTGATTTTGGCCTCTTTGAGTAGTCCTGGTGAATACTTTCTTTGGAACAGAGAGCAGAACTTGCTTCTGTTTTTGTGTTACCAGATTATTACCTCTGCCAAAAAGAGGTAATGAGAACAGATGAAAAAGACCAAGTGCATGTCTGATTCAATCTGTAGCGTAATCACCATCCAATGAACAGAAGTAGCAAGTATCTGAAAACATGTAAGAGGAACATGAATTCACGTGTAAGCATTGCAGTCCTGTGAAAGCCAAGAGAGTTCTTAATTGCTCTATTCCTATGGAGGGGACCTAGTCTAATTGAAAAGTGATGTAGGGTTATGGAGGTGAGATCAAGTTACAGAAACTGTCCCCAAGAACACTGTTGGAAAATCTAGCAGCAGCTAAACTTATAACTCTCTCAGAAAATGAAACAGAAACCTTTTTAACTCACAGTCCACTTTACAGTGAAGCCCCAGGCTGTGGGTAATCCATCTTTGCCAATCCCAGGATGTTGCCAATAACCATATTCTTAAAACTGCACTGCGACAAGCCTTCTTGTGTCCTGAAAAGAGATTCATGTCTGTTGAAATCCAGAAGCCTGTGAAAAAGTTCAAGGGTTGGAAGTAGATGATCTTTAAGGTTCCTTAAAGCTATTCTATGATTCAAGTGTCAAATGTACAGCACAAAACCATGAAATATGTCTGTTCATCTTCCTCTGATCCGGATGCTGTGCTCTTCTAGATGGCAATCTGCCTAAAACTCATCCAGTTGATTATTTCTGCTATTGTTAGGAGAAGTCTATCAGGCACACATTGCAGAGAGGTCCTAGGCAGTGTGCTGCACAGGTTTTATGGCTGTTTGCTGAGTGGGAAGGCAGGAGATGGCAGGATTAAATAACCACTTCTGTGCCAGCACCAGATCAACTGATGTCATAGGTCTCAAATCAGCAAAAGCTTAAACTCTTATCTTACTTGAAGTTGTTGAGCCATTTACATGGAGAACACAGGAATGCTTCTGCTGTTGGCAGGGATGTCTTCCCTGCCTGTTTTCCCCAGTAGTGGATTGGTATGTATGTATTTGGGGAGACGTGCTGTGAGAAGAAGGAAATTGGAAATTCTATGTGGAGTGAGTAAAGGGAAACTGATCCTTCGTGTGCTAAAAAGTAAACTGAGATTTTACACTCTTGTGCTGCTTTGCTGCAGGCATTTTGTGAGCAGAAAAGAGAAGCAATGCTTTATTTGTTGGTATTTTGGCAAAGCATGGCTGCCCGTGCAAGACATCTGTTTAAATTCCTAACCTAGGAGAAAGACCAGATCTGGACGAACGTTTGGGGCCACATTTTTCCAGAAGGTTTGCATGTTATGTACCCAAAAGGACTGCAGGGACGAGTGACTGATGCCCCAAGCAGGTCTGGCCAGGGCTTTCAACTGAAATGTGTGCTTTGTGTCCAGCACACGGGAAGGAGACCGCATTCCTGAGGAGCTCTTTTAAGGAGTGCTAAGTAAACAATAAATCTCTCCACAATGGAATTTATTCTGAGAGAATTATCCAGGGTTAAAAAAATACTCTGTGGCTTTCAGCTCTTATCTTTGTTTACTGTATCACCAAGGACAGTGACCTGCCTTTGTGCCCCAATACTGAACTGTCAGCAGAGAGACGGGAAATGCTGCTTTCTCTATAGGCTCACTGTATGGGCTTAACGAGAAGGGTAACATCGTAGCAGCGGTGGTTGTTTTGCTCAGTTCGTTTTATTCTCTTTTGTTGATTTCCTTCAGCAAACCTAGGTAATCTTAGAGAGGGGCCTTTGTGCTCATTTTCTGCTCTCTGTAATTTAGTGACCTTCAGATATTTAAACATTAAGACCGAGCTGAGCTGACAAAAGAGCCGATATCCTTTTCATTCCCCGCTGAGCCGTGCTGCCTGAAGCCAGCACCCGCTCAGCACTGAGCTCATGCTGTCCTCCTGCTCCAGCACACAGGGAGCATGCCAACACCGAGTGGAGCTGCAGATCCTTCTGTTACTGTGGTAACGTCGGGATCGCCGAAAGCCCCACCACTTGTGGGTCACCTGATTAACAGCTCCCCTTAATGAAATGAGAAACACGTGATGGGAGAATAATCAAATTGAGGAGCGCCATCCAGGCTGGAGCAGAGATGAGCTGGTAGCATTGCTTGCGAAGCATCCCCACAGCCTTCTCTTGGCTTTGGCAAGGGTTTCTACACACCAGTGTGAGCTCCAGTGCCCTCCCTGCTCAGGGAACACTTTTGGCTGGAGAAAAGAGCAGCTCCTCTTATTGTGGAGGAAGATAGCTAATGTCGGGGAAGAGGGCAGGGTGAGCCTAGCAGGGAGGCAGCAGGGCATGGCCTTCTGCAGCAGCAGCCATCCCTGCCATGGTTCTCTCATCCAGATTTGAGAGGGCAGAGGTGTGGGGAGCATGGTGCAATCCAACAGGCCCTAACCTTTGTTTGAGACCCGAGGGCATCATAGATAGAAAACCTTGAAAGCAGATTCCCTAACTTTCAAATTACAGCTTTTGTTTTTTGTTTGTTTTCCCAAGTGTAGAAAATCAGTATTTCTTTGCCTTCAGTGTTGCTGGTCTATGGATGAGTGCATATTACCACTTCTTTCCTGCCCCCTCCAGCAAATGTGCATCATAAATCACAGCTTTGATAGTGGGTTAAGTTCACTTCTAACATACAAAAAAAATTCTGTCCATGATTTTGTTGTCCATTCAAGACTTACTTTTGTTTGGTATTATATCATTGCTAAAAGCCAAGGCTCAACTTACCCATGACATGAAGAAATTTTTTTAAAAAGTGGGGTTGTTGTTAGTACTTTAGCAATGGCCAGGCTTTGAACAAAAGCTTTGGATGTTGCCTTCATCAGCAGTCTCCAGGCAAGCTCATGATTAAGGTTTACCAGTCTTAATAAAAGCACAGGGGGAGAGGATGTTGCTTCCCCAAATTCACTTGGAAAGCTGCGTCAAGACTTGACCTCCTGACTGCAGGTCCTGTGGCTTTGCCGCATAAGTGTTCCTCCCTGCACTCCTCCTGCCCTGCAATACTGTGCCTGGAATCTGACCCCGTGTTTCCCAGTGTCATACTGGCATCAGCTGGATCGAAATGAAGTCTTTTGTTAACTTGTTCATTGCTTTGCAAGCAGATTTCTCTTCTGGTTATTAGAAGGCGGCAGCGGTGATGGGCACTGAGCTCCTTCCCCATTTACGTACACATGCTCAGCACAGTCTTTGTAATATCCTGGCCATCTCAATATCCATCTCTTGGAGCAGATATGAGACAAGGCTCCATTGTAAGGAATACAAAAGGGATTTTTCTATCAAGCCCTCTGGAAGCAGAGAGGAAGCTGCAGTCTTCCCTGGCTCTTCAGTTCCTGGCCTGTATAGTACTGAGTAGCAAAAGTGATGACGTGCATATGAGGCATGCAGAAAAAAAGTTTTCTTACATCCTGACCTAGATAAATAGGACTTGGAATGAATTTTCTGACTTTGTAGCACTGACACCTCAGATCTTCTGAGATTTAAAGATCGAATATTTTTTTTATTCCTTTTTATACTGTTTCAAATTGATGGATGTGTTACAGAAAATACACATGCTTACATGTGTGCACACATGAAGAGAGACTGAAAGTACTAACGCTACTCTATTTTACTACATCATAATGTAAAAGGCACTGGAGGTGAATGTGTGAGGAAAGGCAGTGGATATGGACAAAAGTGGAAGGTGCTGTGGCTCTTCTGACTGCATTGCAAATGCCTTGGGAGATAAAGGAGGGAAAACTGTGAGGTTGCTTGAAGTTAGGCTGACAGAAGGCAGGTCCGAATATGTAAGAGGTGTAAGAGAACCACATCTACTTGCAGTTCTTCCCAGTGCTTTCTCTTACTGGAGGTATAGTTCAGGCGGGATATGATCCCAAGTAACCTGCTTTCCAGTGTCTTAGTGCACCATAGGTATTATACAGATGGAACTACCAGAATGTTATTTAAATAGAGGAGCAAAGTTTGGATAGCAGAGATGTGCCACTCGCTTTGTGATTATCTGCTTGTTCGCTAGGAGAATTGTAGCTTTCTTTACACACATGGAGCTGAAGAAATAATAAGCACCCTTCATCAGTCAGATACTTATACATCAGACTAGGTGTGGGAAGCATAAGGTCCTCTTTTTCTCTCTGTTTTCTTCTTGCTGATTTTCATTTTTTACTTTTTAATTAATTTTCTTCATTTGCAGTCACACAGCTGTCTGGGCTTCAGCCATAGATAAGTGGATCTGTGTGTGACAGCAGCAACCTGAATTTATCTGTCTTTCCACCCCTCTCCTCCTCACTTCCTGCCTTCCCCACCCCCCGTCTCATACCCAGCAGAAACAAAATGCTATATATAGCCTCAGTACAGTTCCCCCCCAATTACTTTATCTGCATATTTCAACCTTGCTCTGAGCCAGGCTTTGCCAAAGTGCCAATTTTGACATTTTCAGAGGAGATTGGGTGCTTAATTCACAAGGTCCCTCTCACAGTAATCCCCCCTAAAACACATACCATAAAAACATGCTTGTTATAAGGGTCAGCATACAGCAGGGATCAGCTTGTGCCTGTGTGATGCTTATTCACATGAAATTCCTGCTCTTGTAGACTCTTTTTTTTTTTCTTTTTGTTTTTTTTTGAAAGTCTGTGTGACTTGAGCCGAGTGCTTGCAGAAGACAGCCAGGCAGGGTTGGCCCATGGAGCTCTGCAAATGGAGCATTATCAGCATCCTGCCATTGCATGGCAAGTCTCTGGGTATTTGTTTTGTATTCTCTTGAACCACTCACCACTGAAGTCAGATGTATAATTAGAATCTATCTTTTTTTATTGAAGCAACAACAACAAAAACAAAAATGAAAGGGGAAAAAACCTACTTCTAACCACGATAGTTGAAAAGGTAAGGCCAGAAATAAGAAACTCAGTTCAGAAGCCTGAAGGCAAGTGAATTTCAAAATTTTATTATTTGCTATAAATCTCATGTTTTCCAGCTAGTTTCCAAGCAGACTGAGACCTAGCTCATGTTTGAGCAGTCAGAACTGATAGAGTACTGAGTGTGCCTAGCTGCTCTCACATGTGACCAGGCCTTTACAGGAAAAGCCTATAGCTGTGCTCCATCTTTGTACTCCTAGAAAATCCCTCTCTCCAAATTAGTCCATCTATAGGCACCCACAGATCTTTGTGCCACAAGTTGTGCTGAAAAAGGGCAAAGGATACAGTATTATATATGGGCAAAATTGCAAGTGAACCCCCTGCAGACTCTTACAGGCTTTTGGGCTTTTCTGGCTTAAAAGTGCTCTTTTGTACTGTATGATTCAGCAAACATCATTTTATGGAGGTCACCTTTGTGTCTCAGTAGCCTCTGGATTAAATGCCCTTCACTTTGGGGCTGGCTGACTTCCAGATGGATATCCCTGCATTGGCTGGGCTCTCCCAGATCTCCTTATTGCACCCCAGAGCTTTTGTGACATCATGCAAGGCAGAGCTTTGAAAAAGAGGAAAGTAAAACAAAGTAAGTCGCAAAGCAAATAAAGCAAGTCTCGAAGTAGAATGGCCATAAGTGAAATGACAGTACAGAGGTGTGGCGTGAAGTATTGCAAAAGTAAGAGACTCCTTGGAACTATGGAGAGGTAAATGAGTGAGATGGCCAGGGAATGACAGAGGAAAGATCAGGTTCAAGAAGCAAAAATATACCTGAGAAGCCAGAGAGGAATAATAGCAATTGGTCTTCATACCAGGATCATTGTGAGACTGTGAGATAATAAATAAATAAAGGCCAAAGCAGCTTACTCATAAAGC